GACTTCCTCTTGATTTTTGCTGCAGTCTGTCGATCATTCGGGAGAGTGCCATGCGACAGAAACTCGATGTAAGAGCTGCACCAATTAGTGATGTCGACAATGCATGCTTCAGTTTTGTCTAATGCGGACTGACACTGCGAGCAAATGCACTAGATGGTGTTGGCCTGTGTTGCCACCTCAGGCCAATAGTAACCCTGGCGTTGAAGTCGTCTGTACAATGTGAGAGGCGTAGCACAATGTTGCTCGTGGGTCGTCTCGAGCATTGTCTCAGCTTTTTGTGAGTCGAGGCACCTCGCCAATGTTCCACATGGTAATTGAAAGTATAACAGTCCTTGGAGGAGTTGGAAAAGTTTGAGGCGCGCGATAGGCATTGGACCTGTCATATGCTTAAGTTGAGTGATAATGGGGGTCCGCCAGTCCTCGACCATGGTGGTCTTGGACGAGAAGAGCTCGCTAATTGTAGCTGGACCAATGAGTTTGGTAATGTGGACATAAGTTGTATCTCCTGAAATTGTGAGCTTGGAGGCCAAAGTTGCGAGCGCATATGGGTACCTATTGTTGGAGCAAGGCATATGAGTGAAACGGACGGACAGGAACTTGGCAAGAAAACGCTAGATACTTGTGCGATAGGATGCCAGTAGAGGCCAGATCGACTTCCTCGAGGTCTGGAGGATGAGGCCACTCTATTTTTGCTGGTGTGGGCTTTATGACTGGACTGGCGGAAGTTGAGCCCGCACACCGTCATAAGTGGTAAACGAATCGTCCGTCAGGCAATCGAACTCGTTTGCATTCGCGAGGGGCGGGCGATTCTACACTACTGCGAGGAACATATGGCTGTGGGGGGTAAAATGTGTCCTATTGCACTTCTTTCCATGTGGGCAATGGAGTACGGATGATGTGGGCCTCGCCCTCTTCATCTACGTCCTCCAGTTCATAAAAAAAAAGTGCCTCAGTGAAGTGTGCTTCTTGCTTAGTGAAGGGTTTATCTGAGCATGGAACTGTAATGACCTTATTATCCAACATTCCCTTGAAACACTGGTGATAGGTCGAGGGAACGATGCCAAAGCGGTGCATCCATGATTGCCTGAGGAGAACATGGTAGGAAGTTTCAGCCTTGATGACATTGAATTTTGTGGGAGCCCGGAACTTGCTAATTGCGAGATCTACGTTCACATGGCCGAGCGTTTAATGGGCCTCGTTACCAAAGCCAAACACCTCAATAGACTCCTTAACAAGGCGCTCGTGGGACAAACCAGCAGTCTGGAATGTTGTTAAAGGCATAACATTAATGGATGAACCATTGTCGAGGAAAGCGCATCGGAACTTTATACCATTGAAACTCGCAGTGACATAGAGGGGGCGATTATGAGGGGCAGCCACTCACTTATCTGATTATGCAAACGAGATGGTCGATGTGTAATGACCCAGTCATTTTCTTCCTTTCCTTTTTCCTCAAATTTTGCGAATAAATTTTTTCCGTTGTCTTTTTTATTCTGTGTTTAGTTTTTCATCACTTAGTGTCGTCTCGAGTGCTCGGAAATGGTTTCTGAGACTCTTTCCTTTGGATTGACAACTTCCTTTAAGGACTGAGTCATTTCCACATTTTTCGTTTTTCGACACTATTCAATTTTCGTCATTTTCCCTATTTTGTCTTTTCCCCGTTTGTCACTTTTTGGCACAACCTCACTTTTCGTACTCGGAGTTGGTTTTTGACTTTACGTATCTTCATTCTAAATGGTTTCCACGACATACGTATTTTTACTTTTACAGTAAATTACTCTGATTGCTCCCGGTATCCATAGGGGCATGGATACATAGTTTTTCAAAATCTTTTTCTTTCCTTGGGGCTATTTTTGCTCAGTTTTTCTTGCTTTCCGCTCCCGCTACCTTTTTTGAGTTCCGTGACTTCATAGAAAGTCATGGATGTGTTTCGGGAATGATATACATTCTAGGGACGACATTTTCGTGTAAAATGACTATTTTGCCCCTGTGGGCTTAATTGTTATTTTTTCGATCTTTTGCTTTCGCGTCAGTTCTCATTGAGTTCCATGACCTCATGGAAGGTCATCAAAGTGTCTTAGAGGTGTGTTGTGCCATGGGAGACCGTTGTCTTGTTTCTTGCTTCCGCATTCTGGATTCGTTATCGGATCTACGTTCGGTTCATCACAGGACGCGCTGGCCTAAAAACCAAGGTTGTCACATGATGGGACTCGCTTTGAGCAGGGCTGGCCTGCCAAAGTTGCCACGTAGCACTCATCTGCATGCTGCTCTGGTTCGGTCTTTGCGAGGGGAGGATTGGTTTCTGCAATTTCATCATAATAAGTGATTGTGGCGACACCACGATGACGTGGATATGGATTTCGCCTTGGGCACTGTAGCCTCAAGGTCTCCGCCCGCGAGCCGTTGCTGGAAAATGCATCTTAGAGTTCGGCAATCGTTGGTTGGGTGCGTCGTTGCCTGATGAAAAATGCAAAAATCAGGATTAGCGCATTTTTGTGCCGTTGGCTCTCTGCGAGGGGTAGGTAGCACCACCACGCCATGGTTGACCCATTGCTCAAGGGTTTTGGCTTCTATGTGAACTGGAAATGAGGGAGGATCGTTGGCGCGCTCAACGCAAGGGGTCTTAGCTTTGGTCTCTGTCTCGCGGCATTTCTTAGACTTATCACCGCTAATGATGACTGGTGCCTCCTTGCAAGTGACTTGCCTAGAGGTTTCTGCCTTGGAGGGCGCAAGGTCCTTACAGATGTTCCTCACTGCCGTTGTAAGATCACTAAAGTTGTTCAATCCCAGGTTGACTAAGTGTACCCTGTCCATGCCTTGGATACAGATGTCCACTAAGTCTCTTTCGCAGCTGCCCTTGAAGCATTCCCTTGAACGGGTCTGGAATCTGGAGATGAACTTGAGTGGCTCTTCGTTGGGCTCCTGTGTTTCTTTGTGAGGGAAAGGGTAGTGACCTACTCGAGGGCCTAGCTGAACTTAGCATGGAATTTTTCAGAGAGTTACTGCCATGTGGTGATGGAGTCTGGCTCGAGGATTCTGAACCATCTGTATGCGAGCCCTATAAGGGATTTAGAAAATTCCCTGGGGCGCAAGACCTCGTCATAGACTCATGGCTGTGCTGGCCAAGGATTCCATAAACCTTTGCAAGTGTTCATCAGCATCGCCTTTCACTTCGTCGTACTTAAGAAATTTTGGAATGACCTACCCATGGGGGTATGGAGTTTGGGCGAGGCTCTTTGGGTATGGTGGTTATGCGCGTAGGACTAGTGCACGAGCCACAGACTGTGAGTTCTTCACAAAGAAATCCCTGAGCCACGATTCAGTGACAAACTGGCGTGGCCTGTGTTGGTAATGGCCTCGGGGCTACCTAAACCTGTGCTGGTGGATACGGGAACGGTGGATCACGTGTTGACGAACTGGTTGGTTGGGCCTGCTCGGGTGAGGCTGTCCTGGATCGCGTGCTTTCCATGATGATGGCCTCAAGCCTATCCAGGTGGTTATTAAGATAACGATTAAACCGTAGGAGCTCTTCATGGGAGGAGAGGACAGCGAAGCTCTCTGGCGGTGGTACATGTGGTACGCCCATGGTAGAGACATATGACGGTGCCAGAGACCGGGCGGGCATGTTGTTACCTCCCTCCAAAAGAGGGTTCGAAATGGTAGGGCTGCACATTATGTGATTCCATCGTCTTGTGCTGATATCCCCAGCAGAGTCGCCAAAATGTAGGGGTTCTTTTTTAATAACACAATAAATAAGTATATAAAGGTGATATCTAAGATACAAATATGAAGGAAACAGAGAACATGCTTGCTTGGTGAAGGAGGAGAAGAAGATCGATCTTCCAAGATTAAGATGGAGGTAGGGCAGATATACATGTCTAATGGCAGTCCTTTTTTGGCTTATTGTTCTTTCATGCGATAGTACTATTTATAGACTGTGAAACATGCTAGTTATTAACTAGCAATTTTCTTGTGTGCCTCGCTCCTGACCATGATCACATGGGTAGTCATGACAGACCTAGGAGCCTAAGAGGTCAAATCCTCTTATTGAGCCATGCACTATGTTGCGTCTCCCCCATTTGGGGCATTAAATGCTCTTTGTTCTTACTTGACCGTCGGTTGGCCAAGTCTATCATAGCATTAAATGTGATTTTAAGGTTTGCTGTCATAATGTATATATTTCCATCATCTCGTTGATCGGACCTCACTGGAAGTGGAGGCACTTCTTAACTTCTCATCCACCAGTCCAAGATCCTTTTAAGTTTCCTAAAGTAAGGTCCCACATAGCTGAGAAGGCCTTACCTTCGTTTCGTACTATGTTTAGACTTATGTAGATATAGCAATTTAAAGGCGACCTCCCTGGGGCTCTAATGCCTCAGTGCGTTGTGAGGCTCAAAGGGGGCTTCGGAGGTTGAGCCCTCAAGTTCTAGCAACTTAGTATGTTGCTCAAGGTATGGGTTCTTAAGGCTTAGTGATCTGGTGTGGTACCAGGGCTTAGTATGCTCAAGGGTTGGGACCTCAAGGCTTATTGACCTAGTATGCTACCAGGGTATGGTGTGCTCGGGGGTTGGTTCCTAAAGGCTTACTGACTTGGCGCGCTACCAGGGTTTGGTGTGCTTGAGGGTTGATTCCTCAAGGCTTATTGACCTGGTGCGCTACCACGGTTTGGGGTGCTCGAAGGTTGATTCCTCGGGGCTTAATGACTTGGTGGGGTGCTCGAGGGTTGATTCCTCGAGGCTTAATGACCTGGTGGGGTGCCAGGGTTCGGGTTGCTCGAGGGTTAGTCTCTCGAGGCTTAATGACCTAGTGTGATAGCAGGGTTTGGAGTGCTCGAGAGTTGAGCCCTCAAGGCTTAATAAAGTTCTTTTTGGCTTTTCAACTTGCCACGAAGTCTCAGTTAAGGGTTTGTGTTAACTTTTCAACGCGCCATGTCAGCTATTGGTAATTGACATCTACAGCTATCATGCCAGCTGTCAAACTCTTTTCAAATTTCCAGGCTTAGGACTAATAGTGTGTAAAACATTAAGCACAGCCCGGGAAGAGTTTAATGAAATAGTTCAATGGAATGGAAAAACTCAATTTACCACCACTCAAATGCATCCAGAATAGTATACAGGGTAAGTTTAATGTCTGCTTGAAGTTCAATTACAAAGTGACAATGACAGAATTAATATATTATCTTGAAACAAACAAGATTTTCACTTTATTTCCCTTGTGAGGAAAAATAAAATATAAAAGTAATTTCCTGGGGGAGTGGCGAGGGGTGCACTTTGCAACAGCCTTGTTACTTTAAATGCCAAATACTCCTTTAAGATCCCCAGGTCAACATGAAGAAACATATATTGGTCTAAAGCTGAAAATTCACAAACATCAATTGAACAGATAATAATCTGTTGTAATGCATGAGTTCTGGTTAGATGGTTTCTTCCACATGAGTTTATAATGGACTCAAGCAAAAGAATACTACAAAGATATATTTACGCACATCTTAGCCGCTAACAATTTAAAGTGCAGCATGCTTCAATATAAGCTACAATAGCTTATTCAAATTTGTGCAATACCCTGAAGAAGGCGAAGAATCACTAGCATGCTTGCATTAAGTGCTGGAGGCAGGATAGGTCCCAAAACAGTTCCAGGATTCACCACAACCACATCTAAACCTTTTTCCTTGGCAAATTCCCAAGCCGCTTTCTCAGCTAGTGTTTTAGAAAGTGGATACCACAGCTAGCCCACAGAAAGCAAAAATAAATAAATAAACATTATAAAATGCAATTTAAGAACATATTTGGATACCAGTATATCATATTAACCTATAAGCATGAACAATAACTGAGAAATTTACTGAAGCCAATTTTATTTACAGACATGTATGTGCTTTTGAAGAAAGCAAACATCAAAAACACACCTAAAGTACTTCAATCTTCTTCAAGCACAACATGGAGCAACAGATAACACATCAGAAACAAATGAAAAAACATCAGACTAAGAGAATTCCTTAGAGCAAGTATATGCATGTAAAATTATATGCATTTATTTTCTGTTCATAAGAAATGCCACCAAAAAATAAAAATAAACCCGAATAATGTGTTGTTTAGTTGTGAAAACAAGTAAACCCCACCGATAACTATTTTGGTACGAGACATTATTTCCCTCAAAGCCATTCATACTTCTATAACATTTTTTTGATAAGTTATTTATGCTTCCGTAACATGACAATTCATGATGGAAAAACTTGAGTCTTTGTTTTCTGCTGAACTTTAAAAATAAACCAAACAGCTGCAGAAAGAGCAAGATTACACAAAGGATATAAGTTTAGCGTCAACTCAACTCAACAAAGCTATTTCCCAAATTGTATTTTGAGCATACATGATGAGAAATCTTCACATGGTTCGAGACTACATGGTCCCGGCTAATCACAACTTGACACGCAAGCAAATATGTCAATTTTTAATCAGATTTTTGCTTAAGTGCCGAGTTGTGATTGGCCGGGACCATGTAGTCCCAGACCATGTAATAATTTCTCCATGCATGATACATAGCTTAAAAGGAAAATTATAGATGTTATGGTAATCTATTACAAAATTTAATCAGTAACTATTGGAAATTATTGCTTCTCTGAATTTGGGTGATTGCCATGAGGGGCACTGTGAATGATTTTTTTTTTTGATAAGTAAAAATATATTAGAAAAACGTTCAAAAGGGGAACGCGTCCCTAATACACAAAAACAAAAGAGCACTGTGAATGATTTTGATGACAAACCAAATAATAATGTTAGTGTTAAGTACAAAAGTAAAAAATAAAAATAATACATTAAACGATAAAATCACAATTATAGTACCCAAACTAACTTTTCGAAACTAATTTAAGCACAACAAAAGAAATTAACAATTTAGTGTGTATAGAATGTTTCTTGCTAATTAGTCATGGGGAAAGAAATTCTTGCTAATACAAATAGAGTTTTTTTGGGTAAGCTAGTACTATGATTCTATAATTTAAACATTCCAAACTCTTCCCAATTCAGTCAGATTCAAAAGCTCAATCAATTATCAAAATCTGATTACTTAAAGTGGCTAAGAACATGTTTGCAAACTTGGAACTACAAGAATCTCATCCTTTTTCTCATTCTTTTTCCCATCAAACAACACCGCAGTACAAGGAACACAGCCACATAGCCACCAGAATAGAATTATATAATAATTATATAATTAGGATATAAATGGAATTACTTTTCAATATGTTGATTTGTAAAGAATATTTTTGGTATTAGTAATTTATAACATACTCCACTATTATTTCTCTCCCTATCTACTCAAATTAGAAGAAAAAACATATAAGAGATAGGGACGCCCCTTTCCTATCACTCCTTATCCTCTCTTTTCTCTCCACTTAACCCACCCAAACAAACTACCCTCTCTTTTCTTTTCTTTTCTTTTCTCTCCCTATCCCTCCAAATCAACCTACCAAACACACCCTTAATTACTTCTCATAATACAGTTGGTTATGGGTTATGAATAATCCTCCCTCTGGCGAAGATCGAAGTCATTAATACCAAATAAGCAAATACTCGAACAAATTTGGGAGAAGTAAAAAAAAAAGGTGAACATGTAAGAAAACGCAAGAGACTCACTCCTTTTGTCTTGCAGTAATCAATATCTGCCCAGCAATTTTCATCCTTGACTACATCGGCTGGCCAGTACCTGCTCGGAGTGATCGCAGATATGGATGAGGTCACCGCCACTCGCCGGACCCCCAGCTCTTTTGCCGCAGTGAGTACACTGTTGGTCCCCTTAATCGCCGGGTCCAATAGCTCCTTCTGCCAGCCATAGCAAAAAACTGAGTATATATATATAAACAGACGTGTGTGTACATTGAATTGGGCACGAACCTCAGGATCATGAACTTGATCGATAATATTGGGAGATGCAAGGTGGAAGACGCCGTTGGCGCCAGTGACGGCGGCGACAATGGAGTCGTAGTGGAGGAGATCGATCTGGAAGAGATGGAGACGCGATTGTGGCAAGGAAAAAAAAAAAAAAAAAAAAATGGGGAAAATGGAATTAGGAAATACAATTGAATTGATATGTGGAAATGGGAAAGGGTAAGGAGAGAGTGTAACTGAGATCTTTGACGGTGGCGTGAACGGTGTAGCCGCGTTCGAGGAGGAGACGGACCAGCCACGAACCGATATACCCACTGCCTCCCGTTACGCACACCACCTCCCCTTCTTTACCCGACATTTCCTCCTCTCTCTCTCTCTAACTCACTCTCTCTCCCCTCAGTTTCTCACTCTAGTCTCCACCACCACTCTCCAGTCACTGTGATTTCCAGTTTTAACTTTTAATACATAAAAGGGTTGGCAATCTGTGTTTACAGTATGTGTTTATACGATTCAGACACGAGAATGATTAGAGTCCATGCAAACACGACAAGAATATTAATTGTCTGAAATGAATACGACATGATTATTAATTGTGTAACACAATATCCGTGTAATTCGTTTAATAAATAAATTGAGACTTAATACTAATATTAACATGGTTTAAGTTATTTCTGACATAAACACAATACATTTATTTTGCACGTTTAACTAAATAGATCATTTTTTACCGAATATTATATGTTTACATGACGCGTTTAGTTAATCGGATTAATCTGTGTCATAATCGTATTAGCAAGGTCAAATACGAACACGACAGGTTTAGTTAACGGGTCAATCCGTGTCAACACGATTAGCCCAAATCCAAACTCTCTTATCTCGAATCGTGTTGGTGTCGTGTCAAATATTGTCACCCGTAAGTTACACGACTAACTGTTTTTAGCAACGACAAGAATCAACTTGGTAGATTTTGTCATTTTTTTTTTATAATATATAAGTATGTACGTATATATTTAGACAAGAAAGAACATGTTAATTATAACATAATGGAGTCACTTACCAAAAATAAAATTGAAAAATACAATGTGAGCAATTACATTGTTAAAAGTCGGTGAAGTTTGGCATAAAGTAGGTGAAGTTTGGCATATTTCCCCTTTTCTTATTTGGTATTTTATGAGCAATTTTTAAATAATTTCTGGATATTTATTTAACTTATTAAAAACTTCTCGTATTTTGTCCCACATTCAACACTTGCTTAATGGTTTTTGGATTAATAAATGGATGCACTAGTTATTTTCAGCCAAGACAAAAATTCATTAATAAATAAATGTACTAGTTCTTTTCAGTCTATAATTTATGGTTTAACAAATCAGAAATTAACTTAACAGTGGATCCGATGTCATTTTTTTCTTTTTTGGTCATGTAACTAAGGGTTCCAATAAGAACCAAAATCTCTTAAAATATCATTTCTCAATAGTAAAAACAGGCATTGATTAGACTTTGGTAGAGTCTTATCATCATTTTCACTCAAATCTATAGTGATTAAGATGGTGCCCAAAAACTGTTCATCTAATTACATGTTACACGTTCATCCAATCAAGGGTAAGAACATTCCTACGGCCTTCTCCAGCTTGGGTAAGTGGTTGATATTTAACTAAAACACAAATCCACAAAATCCAATTAGGGCATTACCAAATCCAATTAGGGCATTACCCAGTGGCGGGATTCAACTACTCTGTATCTTTGATTACGAAAACATGACCCAGCACCATCTCCTATCTCCAAACGATATCTCAACCTGCACTCAAATTCAGCTCATGTTGAGAGGATTCCTGAGTAACAACAGTCCACACACACTGTTTTGTCTAAAAAATAACAAAATTTTGAAAACTATTTCAAAGTAATAATTTTTATCAATAAGCCAAACTAATCGAATTTAATGAACTCTTATCTTCTTCTTAATTGATAATTATCTATATCCACATTATGTAGGTTTCAGGTTATCTTATAACTTGATCCCATCCCAACCTAAATTTAATTAGAGTTGTGTTAATTTCTGCATTCCTAGTTCCACAACCATAGCTTACTTTGAATCGTTCAAGCAAGCTTCCTTGGGGTGTGTCTGGGAAAGCCTCGACTAATCCACGGGACAAAGCAAGCTTTCTTTTTAACTGAATGGTGACGATATGATGCTTATGGTCGTTTCAAACATAATATAAACATTACAAAGAATTTAAAATATAAGGAAGGAATGTACGGAACTGTCTTCGTCGTTAAGAAAATCATCCAGACTTGTTGAGAAGCCATCAAATTACTACAAGAAGCTCTTTTCAAAAGATTTGGCAATCTTTCAGTTTAACAAACAAGATAATTGAATCAACATCCACTGAAAATTTAACAGTGATTTGAATGTTACATACATCATATATAAAATAATAAAAACAAAAAAATTTCAATATTAGCCACTTGATTTCCTCAGCTGAGAGTGAAAAGAAAATGGAAATAGCACAAAATCAAAGGACTTGAATACTCCTTGATACTTCCCATCATAAAAGAGGACAAAAAAAAAAGTTGGACTAGCAATTGGAAACTAAAAAACTATTATAAATTATGCAACCAAGTTGCCAGTGAAAAAAAAATAATAATAAAAAAAAATTGTTTAGCTCTAACTTCAGCACTAGGGATAAGGATGACAACAACAGAAGTGAGGAGAATCCAACTCTTCACACCAAAAGTTTTAGTGTGATAAATAGTATTGCAAACAAGTTGAATATTATCTTTGGTCCGAATAACATGACCATAAGGGGACGTGATGTATCCTTTTCCAAACAAAATATAATGTTGTTAAAATGTCGAGGCCAAATTGGCATCCTGGGGCAGGGCTTAAGCCAAATACCAGATCTAATATAAGAACTCATCCACTATCTTAGAAGAGCCATTATTCAAACTGTGAATATAAAACCCCCTTTTCATTTTTTCAATGATTTTTCCAACAAAAGTATTTCCTGTTCTCTTTGAAAAACACTCTCTATGAGTAGATAGACACTCCAAAACTTATAATACATGAAACCTAAGGTCAGAACTTGGATCAAGAGTTTGAGGCACTTCATTTAATCCACAAATCTAAAGTCATTTCCCACTTCATTTAGATTACATCTTACCTAATTTTCTATTTGACGTTATTTGAAGAGATTATTGCTGTCATTAAAGAGATTATTGTGGTCGTAAAAGTAGAGAGAGAATTTTGTAAGCCTTTATTGTTGAAAACAACTTTAAATTCAATGCAAAATTCATTATACATACTAAATCATCCTTTTAAGTGTAAATATATATATATATATATATGAGCAATGCTCAATTGACAGTCGCTCTTCTTATTGGTCCTAATATTTATAATTAATATATTTATTAATTGTACGTTTCCTATTTTTATGAAACACTAAAAATATATATATTTTTGACAATACTACCCTTTTAGTCTCTCTCCTCACTTAAACTTTATCAAAACTGTCATTAACACATTACATGTTTCCTACTTTTAATAGGACATTAAATAATTAATTTTAACACAAAACTACCTTATTTCTTTCATTTGCCTCTACTTTCCACCCCTTGTGTTTACATACACATATATATACACACACACACACATATAATAATGGATTCTTTTATTTTCTTTTAGTCATTATTTAAAAGTGATAGTTCAGGGATAATTTTTTTTTAATTTATTTTTTTTTTCTTATTGAGAGATAAGAATTCATTTTCTATATAAGAGATAAAGTTGATTTAGTTAGTAAAGGATAAAATTACATGATAGCAATTGATACATACATACATACATACATATATATATATATATATATATGTATTGAATTAAATTTTATAGAGAATGAATTCTTATCTCTCAATAAGAAAAATAAAAATAAAAAAATTTTATCCCTCAACCATCACTGTTAAACAATAACTAAAAGAAAAAGAATCAATTATTATATAAGTGGGTGTATATATATGTGGGGTGTAAACACACGGACAAAGGGGTGGGAAGTAGAGACAATTGAAAGAAATAAGGTAGTTTTGTGTTAAAATTAATTATTTAATGTTCTATTAAAAGTAGGAAACATGTAATGTATTAATGACACATTTGATATGGTTTAAGTGAGAAGAGAGATTAAAAGGATAGTATTGTCAAAAAATACATATTTTTAGGGTTTCATAAAAATAGAAGACATACCATTAACAAATACATTAATTACAAATATTAGGACCAATGAGAAGAGCGACTGAACGTTACCAGAACCAAAATTTATGGAATTTTGAGTTTAAAGCAGTTCTATCAGGACATTTTAGGATACTTTGGATGATAAAAATAAGGAAAATGATATTTTTGACAACAATTTCATACTGATTGAAAAACAAACATTAACCTGGCAATATATTATTGGGCAGTAACAAGTCTCCATAAATGCATTACATTTTGTTAGACAAAACTATCCTTTTGTAATCTTTCGTTTTCTTTCACCATTTTCCTGTGTGTATGTCCGTGATTTCTTCGCCCTTTTCTCTCTATGTAGCTGTATATTTTCTCTGTTTTTTTGCCAAAAATTCTTCTCTATACAAAATTATTTTTTCACTAAAAAGACTCGAATGGAATTATTTATTTATTTTTTGTTTATAAACCATTGTTGAAGCAAGGGCGGAGCCTTTCATGGGCTAACCTGGGCTGCAGTCCAGGTCTAAAAAAAAATTTACTACTACTATGTCCTATCAGCTATAGCCCAGCCCAAGTTCCCAATCCATGATAAATGGCTCAGCCCAATAGCCCAGCAAACCAAAGCTAATCCATGAACAAGACCAAACTATTCAGTGTAATTTCAAGCAAAATAAAAACCCCTTTTCAGCTTTTAATCCTTTTCTTTTTTCTTCAACAATGGTTTTTTTCACTTTTTTTAATCTTAGTGGGGATTTTTTTTTTTAAATAAATAACTTCAATATTCTGTTTATAATGATATTTGGTAATTGGGTTTTTTTTTTTAATTATTGTCTGAAAATTTTGGAAATCTGTTTTTTCACTTTAGATTAAATTTTGATTGTTTTGCATTGAATCATGTTATTGGATCTGGGTTTCTTCATATTTGGATTTCTCAGAAGAATTAATAAATTTTTTTCCCAGTAAATTATCTTCTCTACTTGAATTATTATTATTATTGTTATTTTTTTTTTCTCCCGTAAATCTTCTGCTTGAATTTTTTCTTTAGCCCTCCTATTTTCAAATCCTGGCTCCACCCCTGTGTTGAAGCAAACAGAACAGAGAAAAAATTTCACTCCAAGAAAAATAAAAGTAAGAACAGTTAGAAGTTGGATAAAAATTAACGAGTTTGAAGGTTGGTTTTAAATGGAGACCCAACACTCACTCATTGCATCTCCAATTTTTCAGCTCTTCCGAACTTTCTCATATCTGCTTGTTCACTCTCTCACTCCATTCTCAATTGAGAGATCTCACTTCTTCTTTCTCTACTTCAAAATATGAAATCTCTGCTACCCAAACTCCAGGTTACAAAGCATTCAAAGATTTGATAATGGCTTCAAAGACAGAAAAGATGTTTGCCCAAAACATTGATGGTCAATCGGAAAAGAGATGTTATTGCAGTTTCACAACGATTACGATGGAGAGGATGTGAAATTGAAGACCTACGGTGTTGCCGGAATGGGGGAGAGATGCATTTGCTTTGTTTGGTTACTTTGGTAGAGAGAAAGAATGATTGTCCAATCTTTGTTTACAGTTGTATTGATATATTTAGATTTTAAAGTAACCCATATAATAGCATCCACAAACAAATGCATTATGCATACTGTCACACAAACAAATGTCCGAGAAAGAGGGGTATCATTATTTCAAAGGTCACTACCAATATATCATTAAGGTTTCTATTTAGTTCAATGATACGAGGAGATAGCCTATAAGCAGACTTGATAGTAAAAATTACAATTAGAATCACCTTCAAGAGGAACGGAGGGCATAAATTACAATTGACAATACTGTGAAGTCAAGCTAAAGATCTTGATATTAAACCACACAAAAAAATCATCATAGGTGCTGTAGTTTTTCCGAAATACTTTCTGACCATCTCATGTAAGCGCGAGCAATACCTAAAGTTTGGACCATGTTCAGTCGATATTATATAATGATCTAAAATTTCACAAGAAAGTTGTGTTCTTATGTGCACATTAAGTGACAAACCACATGTTCCACGCTTAGATGCACTTTCTAGAAAGAAAATAAATCAATATACGTAGAGAAGAGATTACCCCTTGCCGATAAGGCACCTCCAGTTACACATCCAGCAACAAGTGTATTTCGTTTCCAAGCTTAAACTCATTTGCCAAGGAAAATATAAGTAAATATAAGTTCAAGCTCGAGCTTTTGACACCTCATTTGGAAGGTTGTTTTATTTTTTATTTTTTATTTCTTTGGCAAAAAAACACATGCAAACCAGGAGACTTGAATCTTCATTTGGCCATTTAATTCACTCCAGACCAAGTTGATGTCTAAACTCCACATGATCTTAATCTTAAATAAGTTGCTTTGGTGAAATATTTGTAATCATCGGTCCGTTGCAATGAATAATTTTTCTGCAACAGGACAGGTAATGATTACCTTTCAACCATCAGGTGCTGGCCAAAGGTATATTAACCCCAAAACAACCCGAGAATATGCAATAAAGTGGGAGAGAGTCAACTAGCTTACAACTCTTCCATTAGAATCTCTCTAAAAGCTGCTCAACACAACCTTCACTTGAAAAGAAAACTTAACACAAAACCAGTAATAAACTTAATAAAACATAACAAAATACGCAATTTCGAACTCAAGTTAGTTCAGTTACAACCCCAGCCCAAAATTACTAGGATTATCTCATTGATCAATATGTACCCAATATCTTTATTGTAATACTTTTATCCCACAAAGTTCTTGGCCTTTACCAGTTCCAGGTGTGCAGAGGCTTGAAGGTTTCATTCAAGAAATATACCCTTTGCTCTTTAAACTCTCGACAGAGTCCTTGATTATTTGCTCCATTAGCTTCTTAGATCCATCCTTGGTCCTCAGCAATCCAGGTTGGGTATCCTTTGGCAACCTATAGAAAAGCACTCAATAAGATTGAGGAATATTTAAATCCGACAATACCAAATTGAAGTTAAGCTACCCATCAAGCACAGTAGTGAATGGAATTTTGAGAATGTATGCAGGCCCAGATAGAATTGTAATATACCAACACTTGCAGCATAAAGCAGCGATTGAAATGATTAAAATCCTCAGCTTTAAGCTTTTACCAAGAGAAACATTAAGATGACCTTTACCAGTCTTCTCCTAAGAGTCTCTACTGCCAAATATTTGTCTAATAAGAAGAAATGAAAGTTGGAACCACAAGAACTGGTTACTGTACACGTTTGTTTGTCAAATGTGATGTGGCCTATATTGCCACACATATTCTAACACATCCTTTTATAGTTATTTTTAAGTTGGCATTTTGACACACATTCTGACATGCCCCTTCAGTTATATTGGAAAGACATAGAATGGTGGTTTTGGGATGTTAATAGAGTAGTTTCATAACCAATAATCTAATCCGAATAAATGGGGGATGCATGATGGATTGTACTCCCATGCGTAGCAAGTGAAGAAAAGAAATGTCTATGTTGTCTCCATCAGTAGACGCATAAGGACTTGCATACACGTGAACGTCTCGAGGTTTTCTCATTTTGTTTTGCAGAACTAATTTTGTGGCTGGAGGAATGTGATCTTTTGGACTATATGATCTTTTAGCATGATATTACAATATGTGATCCATTTATTGACTTGCTTATTTTTCTTACATCCTAATGATATGCGGCAATGCTCTTTAGACACATATGCCTAATCCATAACTAGCATCTCTTTTCGGATTTTTTTTTTTCTTTTTCTTGGACACAATGCTCACACCCCAAATAAATCATCCTGAGCTCCACTCCCCATTGTACCTTACTATTACCGTATAAGATAGTGAAGGGCGGAAAAAATTTTATGGACTGTGAACATTACTTCCTTTTACTTTTTCAAAATTCCATAAAAACTACTAGAAATTAATCATTATGCACCCTTTTAAAGAATATCCTTCTATTAAACCATATGGTAGAGTTATAAGTTTTAGATGCCAGCATATAATTATCATCAGTTCCACAGCCGCAAGACGTGTAAATAGTTCGAACTATAAAAATGAATAAATAAACAATCAAAAACACAATAAATTTTTTTTAAAAAGCAAGCATGGCACTATATATTCAGGGTAAAGTTCTGCAACCTTTGCAGCAAAGTCGCCATAATGAGATATAGCTTCCACACACAAGTGCCTTCCTGTTGCTGATGTGTTTTCATACACTAATATGTGTGCTAGGGCCACATCTTTAACATGGACAGACCCCATAAAAAAATCCTTATATATCTCTGTGCAGCCTGGCCAAAATGCGATTTGAATTCTTGGGTTAATTCTAAAAATTATAAGTTTGGAGTTCCAAAATGTCTGAGTAATGTTTTTGGTGGAGATTGAAAACTGTCAGCATCTAAAAATGAATGTGAAGCACTGGACAAGCTTCAGGACTACTATGTTTAATACATACCCGACTAGATGATCGGTTGAGAGGAAACTGGCAAGACAGAGAGGCAAATCTATTCCAAGGCAAGTAAACAGTTCATTAACAAGTTTGAGCCAGGAGAAAGAAAAATAAATCCTCCAAATGCAATCTTATGTCACTAATTATGAAAAATAAGGAACACGACAATTTATGGAAGTGACATGGACACATGCTATCATGCAAGCTGTCAACTTGAGTAATTCTTTTCGAATTTCCAGGCTTAGGACTAATAGTGTGTAAAACCTTAAGCACAGCCTGGAAAGAGTTCAATGGAATGGAAATACTCAACTTACCACCACTCAAATGCATCCAGAATAGTATACAGGGTCAGTTTAATGTCTGGTTGAAGCTCAATTACAAAGTGAACAATGACAGAATTAATAAATTAGCTTGAAATAAACAAGATTTTCACTTTATTTCCCTTGTGAGGGAAAAATAAAATATGATAGCAATTTCCTCGGGGAGTGGGGAGGGGTGCACTTTGCATTAGCCTGTTACTTTAAATGCCAAATACTCCTTTAAGATGTCCAGTTCAACATGAAGAAACATATAGTGGTCTAAAGTTGAAAATTCACAAACATCAATTGAACAGATAATAATCTGTTGTAATGCAAGAGTTCTGGTTAGATGTTTTCTTCCAGGTGAGTTTAGAATGGACTCAAGCAAAAGAATACTACAAAGATATATTTACGCACATCTTAAACTCTGACATTTTAAAATGCAGCATGCTTCAATATAAACTACAACAGCTTATTCAAATTTGTGCAATACCCTGAAGAAGGCGAAGAATCATTAACATGCTTGCATTAAGGGCTGGGGGCAGGATAGGTCCCATAACGGTTCCAGGATTCACCACAACCACATCCAAACCTTTTTCCTTGGCAAATTCCCAAGCCGCTTTCTCAGCTAGTGTTTTAGAAAGTGGGATACCACAGCTAACCCACAGAAAGCAAAAATAAATAAATAAACGTTATAAAATGGAATTTAAGAACATATTTGGATACCAGTATACCATATTAACCTATAAGCATGAACAATAACTGAGAAATTTACTGAAGCCAATTTTAAAGTGATATCATTTATCTAAAGAGATGATTATGTGCTTTTGAAGAAAGAAAACATAAAAAACACTCCTATAGTACTTCAATCTTCTTCAAGTACAACATGGAGCAACAGATAACACATCAGAAACAAATGAAAAAACATTAGACTCAGAGAATTCCTTAGAGCAAGTATATGCATGTAAAATTATATGCATTTATTTTCTGTACATAATAAACGCCACCAAAAAATAAAAATAAATCTGAATAATGTGTTATTAGTTCTAAAAGTAAACCCCACTGACAACTATTTTGTTACGATACATTATTTCCCTCAAAGCCATTCATACTTCTATAACATTATTTTGATAAGTTATTTATGCTTCCGTAACATGACAAATCATGATGGAAAAACTTGAGTCTTTGTTTTCTGGTGAACTTTTACAACAAACCAAACAGCTGCAGAAAGAGCAAGATCTTTTGTTTTTACTTTCTCAGTACATTTTGCTTCCTTACACAAAGAATATAAGTTGAGCATCAACTCAACTCAACAAAGCCATTTCCCAAAAGGTATTTTGAGCATACATGATGAATTTTTTTTACATGTTCCGAGACTACGTGATCCCAGCTAATCACAACTTGACACACAAGCAAATGTGATTTTTGCTTACGTGTCAAGTTGTGATTGGCCGGGACCATGCAGTCCCGGACCATACCGTGTAATTATTTCTCCATACATGATACATACCTTACAAATGTTATGGTAATCTATTACAAAATTTTATCAGTGACTATAGAAAATTCTTGCTTCTCTGAATTTGGTGATTGTGATGAGGAGCACTGTGAATCATTTTGATGGCAAACCAAATAGATATGTTAGTGTTAAGTACAATAACTTGTGGTCAAATACGATCATTTAATTGCTTCTCATTATACAATTAGTTATGGGTTATGAATAAGCAAATACAATTGCTATGGTTATGGTTACGGGTTAATACCAAATAAGCAAATACACAAACAAATTTCGGAGAAGAAAAAATACATAAAGATGAACATGCAAGAAAACGCAAGAGACTCACTCCTTTTGTCTTGCAGTAATCAATATCTGTCCAGCAATTTTCATCCTTGACTACATCAGCTGGCCAGTACCAGCTCCGACTGGTCCCCTTAATCGCCGGGTCCAATAGCTCCTTCTGATAGTGATAGCAAAAATTGAATATGCATATATATATATATAAACAGACGTGTGTGTTTTTGTGCGTGTACATTGAATTGGGCACGAACCTCAGGATTATGAACTCGATCGACAATACAGGGAGATGCGAGGTGGAAGACGCCGTTGGCGCCAGTGACGGCGGCGACAATGGAGTCGTAGTGAAGGAGATCGATCTGGAAGAGATGGAGACGCGATTGCGCACCTTCTAGGGCTTCGAGATGCTTAGTTTCTTTTTCATCCTCTAAGAGAAGGGGAAAAAAAAAACAGAGAGAGAAAAATGGAATTAGGAAAAACAATTGAATTGATATCTGGAAATGGGAAAGGGTAAAGAGAGAGTGTAACTGAGATCTTTGACGGTGGCGTGAACGGTGTAGCCGCGTTCGAGGAGGAGACAGACCAGCCACGAACCGATACCCACTGCCTCCCGTTACGCACACCACCTCCCCTTCTTTACCCGACATTTCCTCCTCTCTCTCCCTCTCTAACTCACTCTCTCTCCCCTCAGTTTCTCACTCTAGTCTCCACCACTCTCCAGTCACTGTAATGTTTCCAGTTTTTGCTTTTAATACATAAAAGGGTTGGCAATTCGTGTTTACAGTCTGTGTTCCGGTCGATACGATTCTGATACGAACGTGATCAGAGTCGACACAAACGCGAAATTATTATTAATTATATCCAGATTTTTTGACAATTCGTTTAATAAATAAATTAAGACTTAACACAATACCAAAGAAATGTTTAAGTTA